TGTTGTCGATATCAAGTACCGTTGATATTTGGCTCTGTTGACTAATGAGTTTGCCGACCACTGACCTGTACTTCCCCATTGCCTCTCGAATTTGTGGTTTCAGGCAATTCAGATACTTTCTCTTTACTCAGTTTCCGTACCTGAAAAATGGGCAGTGCCTTTGGAAAAACTCAAACAGCATAACGTACTTGGCAGCCTTTGTCCATGGAGGGGCAGCATGCTAATGTTTTACATCAGTGTTACCTTCTGGACTATGCCCTCTTACCTCATGTCCCGTGTCTACCCTCATGACACATAGGTGACCACACTAATCAGACTGTTGTTCAATCTTTAGCTGATGGAGGTGGCATTAGTCTCAGAATCACATTATTTCTCTGATGAAATTCCTGACTCCTTAAGAAGCTTTGGAATGACAGTCCTGAATTCTTTTACTTATTAGATATGGAGTATGAAAATCATCTCCAGAAAAAAAAATTGGGGCATTGGTATCTTATGGGATTGTGATACGGGTTATTTAGATGGTAGTAGATAACTAATAATAACAGTAGCAATAATAGCAGCAGCAGGAACAGCAACATGACAATGAGGGCTGGCATTCACTGAGCAATTATCAAGTACCAAGTCCTGTGCTAAGTAATTGGTGCTTATGTTGTGATGTACCCCATTTTACAAAGAACATATCAGAAAGTCGGATTATAGAGTCACTTATTAAAAGGCGGCGCATACAAGGAAGCAAAAGTACTCCAGAACTCACAGCCCCAAACAGCTTACCACGCCTGGCTTATATTGGCAGAATATCACAAAAGTATCGATTACATCTTTGGGTCTGGAATAAGGAATCTGTTTCTCGAAAAAGCATTTTTACAGAAGCAGAATTTGAGCAACTTAGTTATCTATGAATCACTGAATCGACAGAAACACATTATCTGGGACCACCGGAGCAATTTAGAATAATGGTGCTGTCCAGATTCTGGGATCACTGAGTCAACAGGAATGCACTCTCTGTAGCTACTGAGGCAATTTAGGATAATTTGTGCTCTTCTCATTCTGGGACCACTAGTCAACCGAAATTCAGTTATCCATAGCTACTGAGACAATTTAAGATAATTGAACTGTCATGGGTCCTAGAGGAATGTGCTTCGATGACCAGTGAGATCACAATCAGTGGGCTATTGAAACCGCCATCAAGGGAGAAATTCAATCATACATAAGTTCAGAACATCAAAAATAACTTTTAAATGAGTGCAGAACCCAAAACAGCAAGGTTAAAATATTAAACAGTAATTTTTACCCAAGTATGGTTGCTACCATACTTCACTTAGCCATCAAGATTGTGGACTTATCATGCTGTCATAAAGCTAAAAAAAAAAGCTTCTGATTAATGAGCCAGGATTTAAATGAAAAAACAAAGCACTTGGACAGTACACCTCAATAGCAAGACTTTCTAATAATCCAGGAATGACCTTCCCCCTGCATGTTGTCTGAGAACAGCAGGTGCAAGGAAAGGGCCAGAAGCCCTGAGTCCACTGTGTCAGAACATTGCCCCCATGGGGTACCTGCTTCTTGGGTTGCTGGTGTCACAGTTTCCCCGAAACACGGCCTGGTGACATTGGTTCCTGATACCTCAGCAGGTAACTTGGTTCCCTTTGCCATCACACCAGCATATATGGTTGCCAATCTAAGAGCCACGCCTTGATTCTCTGTAACGAGCACTACACTGGGAAGGTCTTGAGTTAAAGTATCGTGGGGAGCGTTTGTTACTCCTGGAGACACCCTTCGCCATGTTGCCTCGGGCTGGTTCTCAGTTCCCTAGTTGACCCCTCTTTTGGGCCTGCTCCCCCGCCTCTGCTGGTACACCATACTGTTGGTTTCAGGTTTGTCACATTGTCAGGTTTAGTGGGGACAGCCCACGGTCTTTGCTCTTTTAGTGCCATATGCTCCTGTGGTGTGTGTGCTAAAAAGTGCCACCACTCGCTGCCAGCCCACCTCCAGCCTCTCCACATAAGCCCCAGATGCCCACCCAGATGATGCCATTTTACTTGAAACACTTGTGAGTTTTAGTAAAACTGTGTGGAGGAGATGGAAAATAATTTTATATCCTCTCAGAGTAAGAAAACTTGTGTTGTGTTTTTTGTTTTTGTTTTTAAATATTTTTATTGACTTCTTACAGAGAGGAAGGTAGAGTGATAGAAACATCAGTGAGAGAGAAACATTAATCAGCTGCCTCCTGCACACTCCCTACTGAGGATGTGCCCACAACCAAGGTACATGCCCTTGACCGGAATCAAACCTGGGACCCTTCAGTCGGCAGGCCGACGCTCTATCCACTGAGCCAAACCGGTTAGGGCAAGCTTACTTGTTTTGTGTGTTTTTTTTCCCACCAGTGGACATATAGTGACCAGAGGACTACGTACTGTTTCATTTTGGTTAAGTACAAACAATACCCAACAGCTCAACCAGACTGTCGTGGAGGGTGAAAGTTTTGTCTTATGGATCCAGGCCAGTGTAGGATGTAGGGCTGTCCATAAATATTTGTTGAAGTCTTTGCTTATTTATTACTTTTAATTATATCCGTTTAGTCCTCCCCTTGTGGTGCTGCAGGGCTATAAGCATCTGTCTTTTAGAAACGTGGGAGGGAGGCCTTGCTCTCCTGCCCCTTCAGATCCTTCCACTGAGCCTCTGTCTCTGCGAACACTAGACAAATTACTTATCAGAGTCTAACCTTCACCTCCACTGGGGGAAAAGACATAAATCTCCAGGGTAAACTTGAAGGGCAGTTGTTGTGAGAATCAAATAGGCTACATGGAAGTCAACATATTGAGTTTGGTGCTGGGGAGAGTTAAGAACGCAGGAGCTGGGATCCAACCTCTGGGTGTGAATTCCTGCCATGCCATTCGTAATTACATTACTTGGAGAAATTCACAGAATAGGGAATTTTACAGAGGCTTCCAGCACATAAGAGAGGAAAGAGGAGTTAGGGAACATGAAATAAATTAGACATGTTCTCCAGGCCAGGTGCAAGCTACTAATTATTTCAGGAACTTTAGGAAACGGGCATTCTATTTCCTACTTCATAGTTGGGAAACTGCAGCTCAGGGTTTCTAGTGACCTCTCCAAAGTCTGTCAGTTGGGAGGAAACATGACTACATCACAGGTCTGCCTAATTGTGTACGGCAGAGACCACTTTAACTTTATAGAGGAAGAAGAGAAAATCAGGGAAATGATGTGAGAGTAGAAGTAAAAAATAATGCCTGTCCGAATCTTGGCTAGTATTAGGGATTTGGGGGGGGAGAATGTTGAAAGAGTAAGAGGTCAACTTGTAAGATGCATTTTCAAGCATAAAACCATGTTTTTAAGAAGACAATGTCTGAACAGATAGCATTTTAGCGCACTCATTAGAAATATTTGGCTCTGCCTCAGAAAACGTACTTGATTAGTTATCTACGCCTTTATAAAACCTATGCTCTGAGCATTGGCCTTGCACACTGAATCACTTTCTAAAGCTTATGGGACATTTAAAAACCTTTGAGTAAAAACTGTGAGACAAAGCATATTTTAAAATAAACTCCCCACTCTCCAGGTTAACACACAGCTTAGCCAACACAGCATCAAAATGGAAAACAAATTATATTAACTGTAGTACCAGTCCTTCTGTTGCTTTTATTCAAGCACAAACAAATATGTTTCTTAAGAATGGAAGAGGGGAAGGGAAGATTGGGAGTGGGGGAAGGATAGGGGGTGGAATTAGGAGATTGAGAGTGAAATGTGATCCTCAGTGTCAGATATTTTGAATGAGGCCGTCCACTGCCTTTATATCATGGATTGCCAGTTTGGTTTTATTAACGTTATTTCACAGGAACCGAAACTCACAAAAGTCTTATACTGAGTTCAGACTCAGGACTATTTGGCTTCCCATTAGTCCACATTGTTTCCAAGGGGAGCCAAGGCTGTTCTATCATTTCATGGTAGAAGAAATTTCTCATGTGGCAAATTTATGTCTTGAATGACACCAACACAGTGATCAATGAATGTCATTGATATTGATTTTATAGCCAAAGCAGAAGTGGTTTTCCATAAGATAACTCCTTTTAAATGACCTTTAATAAAAGTCATGATTATACCCTTAAGAAAGCCTGGCTTCTTGAAGGCTCAGTGGGCATGGCTGAATTAATTATGATGAAGTCTACAAATCTGAAGTGCGTAGAAAGTAATAACTTATGGATTTTCCAAACATATGTTGGCATTTGGCCTCTGAAAGCCTGCTGATATCGTTGGGAACATTTCATGCCCTATAGATCCCCGAGGAATCACTCTAAGTGAGAGAGTTTTCTTAATTTGGTTTTAGTTGAAAATGTAATTGTTCTAAACTCCATGTTGTAATGAAAAGAATAATTTGGGCTTAAAGGCAATCTTTCTGACCTACTTTTAAATTACTCTTCCCACATTTGAAAGATGAAACAAATTATGTGCTTGAAAACTCACTCAAGATGGGAGTAAAGCAGAACAGAATTCTTTCTCAGCAGCTGTACCAGATTACATTGAGTGCTGTGACATGTATAAAGGAAGGACTCGGTCTGCTTTGTTTACAGAATGCATTGCAAATGAAAAACCAGTGCACGGCGGCAAATAAAAACCAACAAACTTAGTTGTAATGTAGCCAGTGAATTTGAAAAGACCTGTATTACATGCAAGTCTGTTGAGAAGCTCTATACTATGTATATCCTATTTATCTATGCTTTTTTCTTTCCCTGTTAATTTTTTATTTAAATTAACTTTTGAACAAAGCAGTAGAATAAAAGCAAAAGTCAGAGATTTGGGGGCCATTATTATATTACTCCTAAAGTCTAGAGTAGTTCTTTTACTAATATTAAATACTCAATAACATCTGAAAAATGAAGGAATGAAGGCAAATTCAGTAATCCACAGGCTTTCACAAGCATTTTTACCTCATGGATTTGGCAGAAAGATGGAAGAAAATGATCTCATTTCTTGTTTTTTAGGTACACTAAGATGAAGACGGCGACCAACATTTATATATTTAACCTGGCTTTGGCAGATGCTTTAGTTACTACCACCATGCCCTTCCAGAGCACAGTTTATCTGATGAATTCCTGGCCCTTTGGGGATGTGCTGTGCAAGATAGTCATTTCCATTGACTACTACAACATGTTTACCAGCATTTTCACCTTGACCATGATGAGTGTGGACCGATACATTGCTGTGTGCCATCCTGTCAAGGCGCTGGACTTTCGCACACCCTTGAAGGCAAAGATCATCAATATCTGTATTTGGCTCCTGTCTTCCTCTGTTGGCATATCCGCAATTGTCCTTGGAGGAACCAAAGTCAGGGAAGGTAAGGGCAGGCAATTTCATTTAATGTTTTAAGCATACTTCTAATGAAACAAAATCTTAATTTGGGAGTGATTAGGACACACCTCTAGTGGAAAAGGCAAAAGACAATGGGAATATAATGCCTAAATCCATGCAAGATGAGAAATAAAACAATTTTGAGTCCCTTTTCATATTTAAACACAAGCTGAGATAATGACATTACCTGAACACAGAGCCCAACCTGTCTCCCATTTCCAAAGTGCTATCAGAATCTGGAGAAATGGGGCTGAAGTTAAGGAACGATAGGCAAGTGGATTTATGAAATACAATTCCACTGTATTCTGGCAATTTTTAGATACCTCCTTGCACCTCTTCTTTCTCCCTAAAAAAAGACACAGGCATAGTCACATACACCAAAAGGTGGCAGGTTCGGTTCCTGATCAGGCACATACCAAGGTCGGGGGTTCAATCTCCAGTCAGAGTTTGTAGGGGGGCAACTGATGGATGTTTCTCTCTCTCTCTCCCCCCCCTTCCTCTCTTTGTAAAAAGACAAATCAATAAAAACATATCCTTGGTTGAGGATAAAAACAATGTAATATTATGCAGCTATAGAAAAGAAGGAACTCTTACCCTTTTAGACAGCATGGCGGGAGATGGAGAGCATTATGCTAAGCAAAATAAGCCATTCAGAGACATTGAAGTATCACATAATCTTACTTATATGTGGGATATAATCAACCAATGAACAAAATAGATCCAGATTCATGGGAGCATGGCACAAACTGATATATCTCAGAGGAAAGGGGACAGAGATTAAGCAAGGAATTTATATGCATACTAGTGGCCCGAAATTTGTGCATAGGGGTAGGGGGACCCTCAGCCCAGCCTGCACCCTGTGAGATCAGACATCCCTCTTGCAATCTGGGACTACTGGCTCCTAACCCCTCATCTGCCTGCCTGCCTGATCGCCCCTAACCCTTCTGCCTGCCTGCCTGATCACTGCTAACTGCCCTCCCCTACCAGCCTATTCTCATCCCCAATTGCTCTCCCCTGCTGGCCTGATCTTGTCCCCAACTGTCTCTGCCTGCCTGATCACCCCTAACTGCTCTCCCCTGCCAGCCTGGTCTCGTCCAGTCTCTGTCTCTCTTTGTTTTTCTCAGCAGTCCTCCAGTCCTCCCTACATCCCTGTGTCCCTCTTCCTCTTTCTCTGCTGGGAAGGAGCGGGGCCAGTGGGGGCTGCTCCATCCTCTGCCCATCCTCCCTTCCATCCAGGCATCTTCAGGCCCAGTCTGTTTTGTTTCCTCATTCTGAGAGAGGCTCCAAGAGTGAGATGGGAGGGAGGAAAAGAAAGGGAGAAAAGGCTATGAGCTGGTGGGTACTGTGTGTGTCTGTTTGTATGTGCAGTTGTGAGTGTGAGTGTTGGCCCTACATCCCCTGTCTCCACTGCCACAAGTCCCCACTACCAGAACCTGCTGTGTGCACAGTCTGGGCATTAGGCCGTGTCTCTGGTCATTGTGGATGTGACAGACCCAGGGTTTTTATATATTAGGATGGACACAGATAGTGTGGTGAAGGCCTGAGGTGGAGTAGGAACCGGGTGGAGGAGGACAATGGTGGAAATATGGAAGACATCTATAATGCTCTCTTCAATAAAGATTTAAAAAATTAAAAACAGCACTTTATTATGTTATGCTTGACATGTAAATAGCTGTGCATATTTACTAGTAATATATACAACTCAATAAGTTTTGGGATAATTACCTGTGAAACCATGATCCATCATGAGCATAAACATATCTGTCACTTTTCAAAGTTTCCTCCTGCCCTCTTTATTATTATTTTTGTATTCATGTTAAAAACATTTAACATAAGATCTACCCATCTTAGCAAATTTTAAATCTACAGTACAGTATTTTTAGCTATTGGGCCTATATTGCAGAGTAAATGTCCAGAACCTATTCACTTGCATATCTGAAAGTTTGTACCCTTGGCCATCATCTCTCCCCCACAAGCCTCTAGTTCTACTCTCTGCCTCTATGAGTTTGACTATTTTATATTCCACATATAAGTAAGATCATATAGTATTTGTCTTTTTGTATCTCACTTATTTCACTTAGCATAATGTGTACTAGGTCCATCCATGTTGTTACAAATGTCAGGATTTTCTTTTTTTCTAAGGCTGAATAATATTTCATTATATCTCTCTCACACATCTTTTATTCATTCTTCTGTTAATGGATATTTAGGTTGTTTCCATATCTTAGCTGAGGCCAACCACAAGGAAGAGACAATGTTAGAATACATAAAACTTTAGCAGAAAAAAAAATATATTCCTTACCTTCAGTGAAGCTAGATTCAACAGACAAGTCAAACACAGGGTAAAATATTCTTTTTCTTTTTTAACTGTCCTTTATTAGTGATGTCTAAGAAAAATAATCCTGAATATTTTAGCTGACATCCAAACCATATATAAATTTGTGGGGGTTTTTTTCAATCAATATTGCAAAACAAATATTTTGAGATGCTTCTTTTCAAAATAGTACTTTGTTTTTGTATCTTTAAATTTCAGTTTACTTTCAGTATTATTTTGTACTAGAGACCTGGTGCACGAACTCCTGCATGGGTGGGGTTCTTGGCCTGGCTGGTGATTGAGGACGATTGGAGCCATCTCACCCAGTCCCAATCAGCCAGACCCCAGCAACAAGCTAATCTACTGGTTGGAGCATCTGCCCCCTCATGGTCAGTGTGCATCATAGTGACTGGTTGAGTGGTCAATTGAACAGTAGACTGATCAATCGGACACTTAGCATATTAGGTATATATATATATATATATATATATATATATATATATATATATTGGTTTCAAGTATACAATATGGTGATTAGACAATCAAGGTAAGATATTTTTTAAACTCAGGTTTTTGCAATGTGCCACCCATCAAAATTTGCTTAATAACTACTTTCTTTCCCCTATGATAATAGTGATGATTTTAAAAAATCATTTTAACTCTTCTTAGTCCTACAAATACTATAACAAAAATTGTTCATTTCTCATAGTAACAGTATTTTGGACAGTGATTTTTGTAGAGACTCAAAAATTACAAGTTTTTCCAGGAGATTTTATTGTATAAGAGGCTTGCTGATACTTAGTTGATTATATTTTTTGTATTTTAAAGTATATGTAATTGAAATGATAAAAAGATACATTTTGTTTTATTGAGGAATATTTGATTAAGATCACATTCAAATGTTTTAGAAAACATTACTCATAGAACTGTTTCCTTGTTTAAACATACTCATGGTATTTTTGAAGCAGAGTTTTCCAACATCAGAAGAAATATATATGTTTACATATTTTTAATCCTCACCTGTGGGTATTTTTCCATTGCTTTTTGAGAGAGAGTGCAAGGGAGGGGGAGAGAGAAACATCCATATCATAGAGACATTGATTGATAGGAGCCCAAACCAGGAGCGGGATCCAGCCTGCAAATGAGATATGGGCCCTTTCCTGGGACCCTCCAGTCCATGAGCCAGTGCTCTATCCACTGAGCCAAACCAGCCAGTGTGAACATACTTTCATTATAAAAATTACACTCAATATTGCCCACAATTACTTTACTCATAAGGAAGGATCAGGACAGAGAGTTTTGCCATGTTCTGTGCTCAATGACTGCTCAGAGGCTAGAAGAAAAAGTGTGGGCTGATTGATGCTTAGGGAAGAGGGGAGCCCCTGAGGGGTGAGTGGATCCTCAATGAAAGTATTACAAAAGGTGCTTATCCTGGGTCTCTGCTGTTCCTGGTCACTCCAAAGCATACTCTCCATCAGAGAGAAGCAGAACAAATAAAGCAGTTTTCTAAGTAATCATATAAAATATTTGTTTTTATCTATTACATAGTCATTGTTGGTAAAAATAAAATATGTGTCTGATTTTTTAATTTCCTTGATAATGATAATGATCCTCTTTCTTCTCTTTCTCTTCCTTCTTCTAGTTTTTCTTCTCCTCCTTCACCACCTTTTTCTTCTTCTCTAGAAATTTATTCATGTTTCAACAATGTCCTTAATCACAAGGATCACCACTGGTTTCATTAAATCATAGTACCTGGGTCATATTTAGAAAAATTTCATATAAAATTTTACTTACCTACCTAATGGTTTCTTGTAAACCAGCTAATATTTTAGGACAAGTTGGCTTTTATTAAATTAAATGGTTAGACTTGCAACATGTAGTCATTTATTACAAATAAATACTAGTTTTTATTGCCAGAGCCTTGGGTCTGGGAGAATTATTAATAATGCAAATAAGTGCTCGTGCTGTAAATTAACAAGTTAACTGTTCTGAAAGTCATCAATGTCAAATCAGCTTCCACAAGTAGATAATTCCTATTGATAGCTAGTTTAGCCTGTAGTTTAGTGTATGCTACCAAGAAATGGGGACTTTCTGGGTTCATTGTCCCACGCACACAGATAGGACATACACATGGCATTCATTCCTCACAAGGTGATTTGCTTCAGGGTATGCCATCTCACTATGATTGGATCTTCACAACCAAAAAATATTAAAACCCACATTTAAAACACTTGGCCAGTGTATGAAAGAGAAACACCACATGACCTCACTCATTTATGGATAATAAAGAACATTATAAACTGATGACTAAAAAGATAGATACAGAGACAGTAAAGCAACAAACAAACTGTCAAATTATAGCGGGAAGGTTAGGGAGTATGGGGAAGATAAGAGACCAACCGAAGGACTTGTATGCATGCATATAAGCAAAACCAATGGACGAAAAACTCTGGGGAGGGAGGGCATGTATGGGAGGCGGGCGGGGGGGGGGGCAATGGTAAGATATGTACACATATAATACCTTAATTTTTAAAAAATGAAAGAAAAAAAAAACCACTTGGCAGCCACAGTAATGACACTTTCCTTCTCACCGTGCTGTTTGTATCGCGGTGTTGACCTTGCAGACTTGGATGTCATCGAGTGCTCCTTGCAGTTCCCGGATGACGATTACGCGTGGTGGGACCTCTTCATGAAGATCTGTGTCTTTGTCTTTGCCTTCGTGATCCCCGTCATCATCATCATCATCTGCTACACCCTGATGATCCTGCGCTTGAAGAGCGTCCGGCTCCTGTCCGGCTCCCGGGAGAAGGACCGCAACCTCCGGCGCATCACCAGGCTGGTCCTGGTGGTGGTGGCCGTCTTCATCGTCTGCTGGACCCCCATCCACATCTTCATCCTCGTGGAGGCGCTGGGCAGCACCTCGCACAGCACGGCCGCCCTCTCCAGCTTCTACTTCTGCATCGCCCTGGGCTACACCAACAGCAGCCTGAACCCCATCCTCTACGCCTTCCTCGACGAGAATTTCAAGCGGTGTTTCAGGGACTTCTGCTTCCCCATCAAGATGAGGATGGAGCGGCAGAGCACCAGCAGGGTCAGAAACACGGTTCAGGATCCTGCGTACGGGAGGGATGTGGATGGGCTAAACAAACCGGTATGACTAGTCGTGGAGTTGTCCTCTTATGGTTCTCCGGGAAGAGAAGAGTTCAACGATCTGGGTTCAACTCAGATCACTACTGCAGTCTGAGGCGGAAAAGTAGAATTTCTTACAAACTTTAGGAAATCTCATGGCCTGAGGTCATCCATGAGGCTCTAGTAGGGACCCAGGTCAATGGAAGCATCAAGGCTGTACGGATTGAGTACCACCGAAGGAGCAAATACAGCCCCTCGGAAGGGCAGGGAAGCTAAGGCTGGTTTCCAATTCCTATGATGAACAAGAAACAAGCCTTTTTCTTCTGGTTTCCTAGATGGACTTCAGGACTCGGCTGCTGTGGGCTTCCTATGCAATGCTGGTTTCCAAAGCTCTGTATAGAAAACGAAGCCAAACAAAATGCTGGTTTCAGGGCCTAGTGGACATCCAATCCCGATGCTTAACATGGACAGTAACAATGACAACCATTTCCAGGGGCCGTGCCCAGCTCACTTTATGCTACACGGATACACATTGCGAGGTGAGGATGCTACCTGAAGTTTGACTTGGATCCATACCTGAAAAGTCTGTTGTTCCTATATCATAGAAACTTATCTCGATATTTAAACATATACAAGATGGACTGCAATATAGTTTAATTCTCTGAAGAACTATATTTTTAGCATGCTATTTAGATAGATAATCTCATAATAAGGCTAAGAAACATAAATTGGTTTAAGTATCACCAAAAGTATATAGAGTTCCACCTGTAAATAATAGTACATGTGCAAACAAGGAATGGGTTTGCCATAAAGCCAGGCAGTTGCTGGAGAGCATGTTAATAATGTCCTCGAGTTATTTAGAGTGATGCTGAGACATTTTGCTGCAACATCAGCTTCTCTCTGAGAATCACTCAACGGCACATCACTCAACACCAATTAGCCCTTCAGAGTGTCCACAACTCAGCGGAATATTTAACTCACTCCCAGGTTGTAGCCTTTGCCGAATCTAGCTTATATGCAACATCTCTTTATGAATATATATCTATTACCACATTTTCTATATCCGGGAAGGGAAGGCATTTTGTTCATGTAAATCTCAAGTGATTCTTCTGTGGCTTTTGGTGGAAAGTAGAATTGGTCCTAACTGTGATCTGAATGAGGACATTATGTCACCTGTGGTGCCTGAACACCCCTTGCACTGGGTTCTGAAGAGCATACCTGAGAGGATAATGCCATGAGCATCACATTGAGGGTAATTTTGCTGAAACTTCAGATGACATATAAATTCCCCTTCCTTTTCCTGAAAATTATGGTTTCAGAAGAAATGGCTTTTTCTGTCATTTGCCTGGGCAGAAAAGGGGGTAATTTAAAAATAACACTCATCTTGCCGAAACTGGTTTGGCTCAGTGGATAGAGCATTGGCCTGCGGACTGAAAGGTCCCAGGTTCGATTCGGGTCAAGGGCATGTACCTTGGTTGCGGGCACATTCCTGGTGGGGGGAGGGGGGTGCAGGAGGCAGCTGATCGATGTTTCTAACTCTCTATTCCTCTCCCTTCCGCTCTGTAAAAATTCAATAAAATATATTTAAAAATTTAAAAAATAATACTCTTCTTTAGCCTATATGTTATGTTATTAGGACAGGACCCTTTGAAATTCAATTGGAAAATCAAAGGTATGGACCTATAGAACTATACACATCACTACTTCTGTAAGTTCTGTTCACTGTGTGAGCTCTCTCTCTTGTGCATATATTCTTTTTAGATTGGAAGTTTTATATGTGGCTTCAGAATTTTAATATGATGACGTTTGTCAATTAGTTAGTCAATTCCAGGTTTTCATGGCACCTGATCCATGGCAGCAAGGTGAGTTTTTTCATGATAAAAACATAGAGCTCTGCCTGGCTGGAATGGCTCAGTGGTTGAGCATTGACTTGTGAACCGGGAGGTCATGGTTCAATTCCTGGTCAGGGCACATGCCCGGGATGTGGGCTCAATACCCAGTGTTGGGTGTGCAGGAGGCATTTGATCAATGAATGACTCTCTCTCTCATCATTGATGTCTCTTTCTCATCTCTCTCTCTCTCTCTCTCTCTCTCTCTCTCTCTCTCTCTCTCTCTCTCTCTCTCTCTCTCTCTCTCCTTCCCTTCCTCTCTGAAATCAATTTAAAAAAATGTTAAAACACAACAACGTAGAGCTCCTTTGAACATTTCTTAAATTCTATTGATTTTTCTTAGGTGTTCTTTTGGAAATGGGTTAAATATTGGTTGATATTCACCCCATGGTTAAAAATCTTGGATATCATGCAAGAAGGAGATCTGGATAGCAAATGCTTTCAGAAATAAACCCTACTGATGTGGGAAATATAGAGACCTCTTTACAGTGGTAAAATTCAAAACTCTAACAGGGATAAAATCATGGAACAAGCTTTCAGTAATGCGTTCTCTTCAACTTAGCACCACACATGCCTTCATAGCACCAGTTGCCATTATTAGAGCCTCGGCTTTAGCCTGGGTATTCTCCATCTCTTTCAGTCTGCAGCCCAAGGAGAGGGAAGCAGCTCTCAGTGACCCTGCGGGGTGCTAGATGTTTCTTCATTATTGTTAACACCCATCTCCACAAAATGAAAGAGGAAGGAGGATGGCTATGTCATTTAAGGGCACTGCATTAAAGAATGATAAAGTGAATCGTGTGTGAGGAAAAATAAAATACAAATGTGTTTCCTCCATTAAAAGTGTGTGTGTGTGTGTGTGTGTGTGTGTGTGCATGAATGGGTGAAAGTGTGTGTACTGTCATGAAGCAGTGGTTGTGTTGTGATTCCTTCATCATTCCATACAATACATTTGTCCAAGCCCAGCAATGTCCCATCTCTTCATGCTCCTGTTCTCCCACCACAGCAAGGAGGGCGCTGCTCCCTGTCTCTGAGACTAGAGCTGCATGTATCCGCAAGCTATCTCTCTACACGACCTCTATCTTCCAACCTGGGAAACAGCTTCGTGAGTCAGAATCTAATAAGGGGTCAGAAACATTCAGAGAAATGAAACATATGCAAGAGGTGTGCGGGTGAAAAAACTCTTTCCTAACTGGGAGGAGAGTGTTTGGTGTCTCAGACTACTCTTAGGAACCTAAGAGTGTCCTCGATGCAGAGAGTTTAAAAACTTTAGGCTTTATGCTAAAATAGGAAGCATAATTTAAAAAATAGTTTTGAGGAGGAAAAAACTATTCACATAAATTTTAAGGAAATGGCTCCATTCTATGAGGTGTTACTGAGAAATAAAAGTTCTTAAATTTGCCCTAACCAGTTTGGCTCAGTGGATAGAGCGTCAGCCTGCAGACTGAAGAGTCCCAGGCCCTAGTCCGGTCTAGGGCGTGTACCTTGGTTGCAGGCACATCCCCAGTAGGGGGTGTGCAGGAGGCAGCTGATCAATGTTTCTCTCCCATCAATGTTTCTAACTCTTTATCCCTCTCCCTTCCTCTCTGTAAAAAATCAATAAAATAAAAAAAGTTCTTAAATTTGTAAACCATTATCAGACAATTTATGGGCATTTCTTCTAGTGTTGGGACACAGTAAGACGAATTACTGAAATAAAAAAAAAATATGTTGGCTGGTTTTACATTAGCACTGTTTAAGGAGAAAACTGTGACAAGTTTGTCCATTCAATATGATTTTTTTTCTAACCAAGAGCCATTTGGAAGATTCAGCATAAATATGGAGACCTCATCCCTAAGGTGATTTTATTCTCTGCAAGAATATACTCAGATATCCTTCACTATGATGTTGATTATTCACATCTTGTTACTTTTAAGATGATAATTATGCATTGTATAAACGATTGTGTATCTTGCAATAAAATAAAAGTTGTGCTGCTAAAATTCACAGCAGAGGATTTCTGTGCTAAATAATTTGTTCTTTAATACCTAAAATGATGCTGCACTGAAGCAAGAATAATGTTAATTGTTACTTTAAACTATGTACCATGTCTTTCACTTCCCATTCATGACAATTCTGTGGACGATCAACAGAAGGACCTATGCAATGACCTAAAATTTTTAAACCTATAATTTGCTTAGGAAGTTTTACTTGTTTTCACAGCAATGCTGCCAAGATCCCAGAAGCAATATTATATGCTACCTTTCCGATGAAAAACCACATGTCCACTAGGAAAATATGCAAACTTTAAAATTGAACTGTCCTGCCAATCACAATATAAACTCAGCCATGAAAAACAAGCAGCCTTCTGCCCCTGCTCTCAGTACAACTTAGCCATGTCACTGCCATGAATGACCTGTTTCTAAGCCTCATAAAATTTGTGTACACAAAGAGCAATGTAACAACCAGCATCCTCCTGGTTTTTAAGATATATGCAACCATAAGTTTATTGCAGCATTATTTACAATAACCAAGATGTGGAAGAAACCCAAATGCCTATCATTATTGATGGAATAAAGATGAGGTGGAACATGTATATACTGGAATATTACTCCACCATAAAAATGAATGAACTCTTACCACTTGAGACAACGTGGATGGACCTAGAGGTGATTAAGCTACATTAAATATGTCAGACAGAGAAAGACAAATGCCATATGATTCCACTTAATCTAAAGAACAAAATAAAACAGATACAGACTCATAGATGCAGAAAATAAATTGACATTTGCCCTATGGGAGGAAAGATGGGAGGCTGCATAAAAAAATTAAATAGCTTAAGAAGTACAAATTGGTAATTACAAAATAGCCATGGGGGTGTAAAGAACAGCAATATTGTATGTAATAACTGTAGGGTATCAAGTGGATACTTGAATTATCAGGGGATCACTTTGCAAATTCTAGAATTGTCTAAGCACTATGCTTGTACACCTAAAACTAATATAAAGTAATATTGAATAGTCACTGTAATTGAAAAATAAGATTAAAAATTAAAATAAATAAATGTGTTAGGAAGAGAGTGGCCACAGTTAGTGTTGTCTCAATTTCCCTATTTCATTCCCTTTCTGTGCCCATTAAAAAAAAATCTATTTAAATAAAACTTCTGTTGTAAGCCCTAGATGGTTGCTTAGTGGTTAGAGGATTGGCCTTTGAGCTGAAGTATCTTGGGTTCAACTCCAGTCAAGGGCACGAATGTTGGTTGCAGTCACGATCCCTGGTCCTGGTTAGGGCATGTGCTGGCAACAATCAATCAATGTGTCTAGATTCACATCTATATTTCTCTCTCTCTCTCTCTCTCTCTCTCTGAATATATGAATGAACAAATGAATAAATTATGTGAAATAGGAAATGCATGATGCTATATTCTGAAATGGCAGTAGACATATTCTGAAACATTTCCTAATTGAACAACCTTATGTTAGTTATGTTCTTTTCACCTAGAAAGTACAAGTAATAACTACCTTTCTGGATGATTATAAAGAGATGATGATATAATTTATATTCAAATGATTTATAAACAATCAACCTCTATACAACAATGTTATTATTAATCTGCTAAATAATGATTCAGAAACTTTTCTGGAAACCAAAATTAAGATTCCCTAGTGTTGCCTAAACCGGTTTGGCTCAGTGGTAGAGCGTCGGTCTGCGGACTGACGGGTCCCGGGTTCGATTCCGGTCAAGGGCATGTACATTGGTTGCGGGCACATCCCCGGTAGGGGGTGTGCAAGAGGCAGCTGGTTGATGTTACTCTCTCATTGACGTTTCTAGCTCTCTATATCTCTTCCTTCCTCTCTGTAAAAAATCAATAAAATATATATTTTTTTAAAAAAAGATTCCCTAGTGTCTTTGTCTTATGGTGAATTAAGAAGTGTGACTAGAGCCAATTATTGCCTTTTGGAAACTGTGCTCTAACCAAAGTCTGTATGACATAAGGGAAGAATTAAATTCAGAAACTCTAATCTCACAGTATTGAGTTATGTTTGGTTAAATGTGTATATCAGATAACTTGGTAATTGTTCCATCAAAATCCAGAGAGATTGCTTGGGCTAGAATTCAAAGGGTTTTTCTTGAGACCAAGGTTTGCATTGTTGGACACAAAACATTCTCTTAATAACATCTCCATGAGAAAGCAATCTTCTTTTTCCCAGAAAAGTTGTTTTTGGAGAAATCTTCTGTTTGTTGTTAAAAGCCTAAGCCCACTAAATGTTTAAATGATTATCTGCTGAGAGATTTCTTCCCAAATGGTTTTCCTTTAAATGTGCTTTCATGTATTATAGAGCCCTTAGACAAAGACGGTTTTACCCAGAAATGTTTAATGAAGTAAATCACTACAAAAAAGCCCCCACAAACGGTTAGCTTTGGCATTGCCACCAAACCACAGCAATTCTAGGCTTTTGGTATTCAATTAAACTTAATTTCACCTTAAACTCCATGAAGTCTCGCCCCAGCCAG